GAACTATGTAAATAATTCTATAAAACAATTCCTATACATGTATCTAAATGCAGAATTTATAACTTTTTTGTCATAATAATTACTTATTTGTTCCTTCAAAGGCTGAAAATTAGCATCATGCCTGAAAATATACTTAAGACCCAAGGAATTAAAACATATACAAGAACTGAAACCTAAAGAACCTTCTCTGATACACAGCAGTTGAATATTAACCCTAAGAGAGATAATGTGACAGTAAGAACAAAAATGCTTTTTAAAAGGTATGCAAGCTACAGATGTTTCACATGGACATTCAACATAAGCCTGAGAACCCTCATCAGAGAAAGCTGAAATCATCATGAGACATTCTTAATAGTAACTAAGGGAATAAAAACTACCCTAAGTCCACTGAGATATCTTGTCAGATTATACCTAAATGTCTAAAATGTCTATTTTATACTGAGTTTGCCCGAATGTCAGCAACTTTAGCATGATCTAGAATTCAATTATGAATACAAATCATAAATAGAAAAATATTGTTTGCATTTGACATTCACACTGTTTCTCTGAAGAACTGAAGACTCACCTGTACCAGATGTATTGGCGTAAAAATAATAAACGATCTGTAATAAAAAAATGGCAAAGCCAAATATAAATCAGTTGTTCTTTAAGAATTACTTTCAAATTAGATTTATAGATAATGAATCTAAAATATACTGCAGAATTGAGTCATTTAAAAAAACATAAAGAACACAACTCTTAAAATGAGAGACTAAATATAACCTAATACACACCATAACATTTACAGGGTCATATATTTGTTTATATTAAATTCCAAGTTTGTGTGTTATTCAGAAGTTTCAAGTATTTCCTAACTGTACCAGAAATAAAAGCAGTTTGAGATGCTAAATAGAACGTAAGAAGCTTTCATGAAAACATGGACTAGAAATTATAATAATCGCCCTTTAAAAAACAAAATATCTGTATAAAAATTAAAACAAGATACTATTTTACACTGTACAGCAAAGATTTTAAGAATAATAATACCTAATATGGGAAAGCCAATGGAAAACAAAACCTCTAACACACTATTAAAAAACAATGCTTCGTATCATCCTATTTTAAATGTATATGTAAGTGTGTACCTGTGTATGCAGTTAGGTATATATCAATGGAAAAAGATCTAAAGATTAACAGATTATATCTGGGTGAAAAGATGAGGACAAATTTTTTTCTAATTTGTAGTTATCTATAGTGTCTACGTTTTCTACAATGAATTTGTATTACTTGTACACATTATCTAAATTCTCAAAATTTAGAAGCATTTGTCATTTGAAAACTGAATATGCTAGTGCTTCCTGTATTAGAAGATAAAATTAACCATAATTAACTATAATTTTATTAGAAGATAAAAGTATAATGAGAAAATTAGATTATAGTCAATTTCAAATACTCAACTTCTGTGAAAATAAATTTTCTGTATATAAGGAACTTCAATTCACTGGCATAAGGATGAACTTTGGAGCCAGAAAGACCTGCTGTCAAATTCCAAATGAATGATCTTGGGTAAGTTTTCTCATCTGAAAACATGAAGGAGTAACAGCACCTACCTTCTAGTCTGATAAAAGGACTTCATTCATTAATATGGTAAAGCCCTCATGGCACCAGCTCAGTGAACCTAGTGCTCAATCCTTTCTCAGTCTCTTGCTAGTTCATATGTAAAATCTGTCAGGAGTTAAATGAATACCCTGGCTTACCAAATTTGTAATTTTAGTGTCTCTGACGAATGTATCTGAAACATCACATAAACCACTTAAAATAGTCTCTCACTGTATTTTCACCTTCAACATCCACAGACTCTCTGAGACTCATACTGGCTTTGACCTTCATTCCTTCTAGAATAGCAGTCCCTAACCTTTTTGGCACCAGGGACCAGTTTTGTGGAAGACAATTTTTCCAAGCAACCTAGATCCCTCACAAATACAGTTCACAACAGGGTTCCTGCTTCTGTGATAATCTAATGCTGCCACTTATCTGACAGTGGAGCTCAGGTGGCAATGCCCACTCACCCACCAATCACCTCCTGCTGTGTCTGTTACCAGTCCATGGCCCAGGAATTGAGTATCCCTGTTCTAGAATACATCCATAATGGTTAAAACAATGCTATATACTTTAGCTCTAAGCTGCATTAAAAACTTGCATATGTATACACATGCATATACATATATATGCATGTGTATATATAAATACATACAAAATTAAACTCAAATAACATGTTACTTTCATTAAGCTCCACATCAGAAGTCTAAAGAATACATTTGAACTGTTAACTATATTATTACATGTAGAGAAATAAGCTATGTTTACCTCGAATTGCTTTCGTGATGATAAAGGATGCACCATGTTTTCGGTTGCCTCTAGGCTGGAATTCAAAACAAAAATTCTTTGAATTTTCTTGTATTAGACTAGTATTACTTATATAATATGTAAACTTATTTTTCTTTACTAATACTCAGAGTTTTGGGCACAGGGAAGCAGTATCTTAAAACTATTTCAAGACTGAATGTATAGGTGCAGTGGCTCACACCTGTAATCCCAGCACTTTGGGACACCAAGGTGGGCTGATTACTTCAACCCAGGATTCCACACCAGCCTGAGCAACATGGCAAAACCTCATCTCTACAACAATGGCATGGCCATGCATGCTTATAGCTCCAGCCACTTGAGAGGTTGAGATGACTGGAGAGGTTGAAGCTACAGTGAGCAGTGATCACGCCCCTGCAATCCAGCCTGAGTGACAAAGTGAGACCCTGTCTCAAAAGAAAAAGAGAGTCAGGACGGGGGACAATAGGAGTAAAGTGAGCATGGCAGAGCTACAGGCACACATCAGGACTAACCTTGCAGGAAAGAACAAGTACTGAAGCTGGAAACTATTTCCAAATCAAATACCAATCCAAAGAAGAAAAGTCAAGGTCAAAGACCATACTGGTTGCCAGTTCAGCACACTCTATTGGGGCTCTAAGTTGTGCTCACAGAAAAAGCAGTCATATCTCCAAGGCAAATTAATTGACTATCTGTTGCATACTCATACAGACAATGCTACTAACAAAACAGACACAGATACGTAATCGCTGTATTAATTAATTCCATTCCATGAGTACAGACTGAACACACTGTGGGTAGGTTCATGACACTAGGCACTGCATAAGATGCACTCAAGTGCTGTTAAGAAAAATCCAATGGACATACACTAAGTGTAGACAAGATTTTTTAAAAAAACACACACACAGAAAAGTAATTTCACTCAACAAACATGAATTGATCGCCGGATTCATGCAAGATACAATTTGGCCTGGGGAGAGATACAAAGATGAATCAGATGTAACTGCCCTCCAAGAGCCTATAGTTCAACAGCTAAAATCAATATAATCTAGAAATCAATAGAACTCCACCTCCAACATACACACACACAAACACACACACACACACACACACACACACACAAAAAGTACCAAGGGTTTCAAAGTTAGTTAACTCTGTGGTTACTTTTTTGAAATCAACTTATGGTAAGCATTCTGAAACATTATTGCAACTAACCAATGAGTATTAAGGAGTGGAAACTTATCTAACCAGCTGCAGCAGCAACCGCTTCCTAGCTGCATAACGCAAAAAAAATATTCACATTAAGACAAATTAAGTATTTGAAATTAAACAGTAATGTATGCAGACCTCTACCCGTCTACAAAATATATTATTCGAGTTAAGTAAGCACAAACCGCAGTGGGAATGAGGCTAAAGAGGAAAAAAATACAAACTTTGGGCTGAAAAATGGGTCATTTCTCCAGTACAGAAACACTCAGAAAAAAATGTAAGAGAATTTGTATGGACTGGACTACATAATCTTTAATAAAGATTCTTTTCGATCTGGCTGCTTCCTCTCGGTCTAAAAGAGTAACTGGCATGCATTAAAAACTCAATAAACATCTGTTGAATAAACATGGATCTGTGGTTCTACTCTTCGCCACAGACACAGGAGGTCCTCAGTACCAAACAACTGATAATCCCAAGACCCAGTCCATAAATTATCAACCTCTATAACCCTTTTCTAGCAGGGATCCCAATCCCAGCCAGTAGCTCTTTTCTCTTCACTTCAGTGGTATTTTGCTCACATCGCTAACTATAGCGCATAAAATGCTAGATTATGATTGTCTCTCTTCTAAACGAGAAGCTCCACGAAAGCATATTCATCTCTGTATCCTCGGCACCTAGCACAGCATATGGGACACGGAGGCGAACGAAAGGACACGCACATCCTTATTAAATGCTCTTTTATTGAAACACACAAGAACTGGCGCGATCCAGCCCCGTGTAACGGTAAAGGCTCAGATTCCCCGCTCTGCAGCAGCCTGCCAGATGCTTGGGACTAAGGTCATGGAAAATTCTCCCACCGCAGCTGAGTGACAGCCCGGACTAGCCCCAGCCAGACGGCAAAAAGGGACCACCGAGAGTCCAGACAGGAGAAAGGACCCTCGAGTCCAGCGGTGTGCCCTCCCCTCCGAGTACAGAGAGTGAAACTAACAACAAGAGTGGGATCGTAAGCTCCCCGGAGCACGAAATTCCAGCCCCCAACAACCGAATTCTGAGCCCAGGAGGAATCTCAAGGACCACCACCCCACCCTGCCTTAGGAGCCCCAGACCCCCGCCAGCCCAAGGCGCTGTTGCCAGGGCGACCGCACAAGTCCTAAGGCCCTGGTCCCCCGCCCACCCGGCTCCACTCCCCTACGTGGCTCCTGCTACGTGGCTCTGCCCACAAAGCACCAGCGACCGTGCCAAGTTGGCTGCTGCTGTAGACAGGCCTGCTTTACCTGTAGTTCAGTCTCCGGTGGCCACTCGGTGTTGACCAACAAGTCATAGAGAATCGTCTCCTCCTCCCCTTCTGCAGCTCCAGGACTCAAAGCGGGCCCTGACGCGGGGGCCGCCATGTTTGCCCGGGACTCAAGCTGCGGAGTGAGTGCCTCTACGGAATCCCTCACAGGACAAGCTTCCCTAGCCGCGGCCGCTTTGGACGCGCGGGGAGGAGAGGGGAGGGACCTGACCGCGGCAGGGAAATGCTAGTTTAACCCTTTTATGAGTAGGAAGGACAGGGTCTATGGCTTGTCTTGGGAACGACTTGAGTCCCGGTCCTGGTGCACTCCTTGTTAATTAATCTACAGGTGATCAGCCAAGTTGTTGAGCCTCTCTTATCAAGTCAGCTTCGATAAAATAGAAATGATAAGAGAACCCCACTGAAATGCTAACGTTCATTTGTGTATTCTTTGCCTAACATGTAGAGAAAGTTCAAACAATGGTTTTAAAATAAACAACCACAGTTATCCAACGCAAGAGATCAAGCCAATGAAAGGTAGCAGAGGAAAGATGCTACGAGTACTCAGAAAAGGCAATGAAGGCCAGAGAGTCTGCTGGAACATCGTGGAGGACGTGGAGCTTGTCCCTGGGTCTTCAACAATAGGCAGAATTTAAATCCACTAGAGAAGCATTTCAAATAGCGGGAAATGAGATGAGCAGAGACAGAGGCAGAAATATAGAGTTCAAAGAGCTCTTTCAACGTGTCGAGAGTGAGCGACGACTTTCTGGGTGTGGGGGTAGAAGAATTTACCAAGAGAGTGGGAGATAAAGAAAGACAGATTAAACAAAGTAGGAAAGTTCCTTGCCAGGGAGCAACGGGCAGAATCAGCAAAGGAGGAGCTCACTGCCAGGAAACAAAGGCTTGTTGAGAATTGTATAGACTGGAACTTGGGGTGATTGGTAACACCAAGGTGGCAGGGAGTTAACTTGCTTTTTGTTGCTGTTGTTAGCCCTTTGGTGTTTCATAAATTGAGGCGTTTGAAGGTAAGCAGGAAGTTTGTGAGTTAAGCACATTATGTGTATAGACGGGCTGTATGTTCTGGGCCATAAAGAAAAGTGGACCTATGGCTTATTCCTTCCTTTGGTTTATATGTTTGGGACCATGAAGAAAGGCAGACGTACAGCTTATTTGCTTTATCTCTTTGCTTTTCCCTGCTCCTACCCACCTGCCTTTTTTTTTCCTCATTAGTACTCCACAGGATGGGTGAATAGAGCACAGTTGAGAAAGGCTGTAGGGGCAACAAAGTTGAAATAATAGGTTGAGAACCCCCATGGAGGGAGCAAAAAGTTCAACCCCATTTGTACATTAATTCATTCGTTCATTCATGCATTCATTCAATAAGTGCCTCTTTGCATACAGCCCTGAACTGTAAGCAGAGCCTATGGTAACCTGAATGAATATATGGTGTACAAAGTATTAGCACTGTTTCACATCAAAAGAAACTCAAATGCTGAATATCTCTTGAGAGAATTATATTGCATGATATCCCTCACGATACATTAGGCAGTGATGCAATTAAAAGCCTCTGCTGGGAAGCCTCTAACAGCTCCCATTTCTCTCAAAGTTTAATGACCTCAAAGACCTACATCATCTGCCTGCTCCCCTAAATCTCACACCTCATTTCCTGCTCCCCCTACTGCCCTCAGCCACACTGGCTCTGCTATTTCTGAACACACCAGACACCCATCAACTTCAGGAATTCTGCAAAGCCTGTCCCCTCCACTTGGAAGTCTTTCTGCCAGATGTTTACCCAGTTCCTCCCTCAATCTCCTTCAAGTTTTTGCGCAAATGTCGTCTCTCCGAAGCCTACCTTGACTGCTCATTTTTAAATTCGCAATGACCTTTCTCCAACTCCAGCTTTTCAGAGCTGCTCTATTAGTTTTTCCGTAACATTTGTCATCATCTGAACTGCTATACGATATATTTGCTTATTATCTGTCTCCATTCACTACAAGGTAAGCCGTGCCAGGTGCTCTATCTATATACATACAAATACTATATGCATCCCTGCTATATCCACAGAATTTATAACAGTGCCTGGCATAGAGCAGAGGACAAAATATATGTTATTTGTTGAATAAATGAAAGACTTCCCAGAAAACCTCTTTTATACATTGTTTCCCTATAGTAATTCTCTGCACAACAGCTGTGCCTTTCAATCAAACCCCTCATTGTTAACACCAGACACGCCTTCTCCCTATCCCACAAGGCTGACAAACTGTACACCTCCAGGGAGCTCTGCCCACATTGCACGCAGTAGGACATGAAGAGGTAGGAACACCATGCATATGGAATGCCGGGTAAGGGCTGGTTGTTGGAGTCCTCCAGTACCTCAGTACAGCCCCCACACCAAATTTCCTTGGCTCTTTACTCCTCTTCCCTGTCTCATCCTTTCTCAGACAGATATTGAGGGTTGCTTTGTTTCATCACTCTCTTCACTGCTTTCACTTGGTCTGTACAATCATGGCGAGGAGGTAGCTGGCCAAACTGGCAAAGGATGCTTCGTTCTTAGCTGGTGTGCAAAGGGAGCCACTGAAAATACATCATGAAGAATTTCTTTCTTTTACCATCATCACACTATTTTGTTGTTGTTGTTGTTTTTGAGACAGGGTCTCACTCTTTCACCAAGGCTGGAGTGCAGTGTCCTAAAGAGAGCTCACTTCAAGCCTCCACTTCCTGGGCTCAAGCAATCCTCCCACCTCAGCCTCTTGAGGAGCTGGGACCACAGGTACATGCCGCCATGCTGGGCGAACTTTACTATTTTTTATAGAGATCGGGGGGCGGGGGGTGTCTCACTTTGTTGCACAGGCTGGTCTTGAACTCCTGGCTTCAGCCTCCCAAAGTGCAGGGATTGCAGGCACGCACCACCATGCCTAGTCTCACACGATGTTAATTGCTTTATCCATCCTTATCCATACCCCACTTACTATAGTATGTACAATAGGACAGAAAACATAAAATCATGCCCGGCTAGCCTCAGGGAGCTTCTACTCTGAAGAAACAACAACTGAAGTTTCATAGGATGAAACTACATTATTTGGAGAGAGAGGATGCATTTCATTTGCAGCATTCCCTGGAAGAAAAATTCTACTAGCAGAGATGCTCTGAGCAGATCAGTGGGTTGTTAAACCTTCAACACCACTCCTTAAAATCCAGAAGAGTTCCTGGAAGGGGAGAAATGTGAGGTGATCCATAAAAGGGAAGAAGGTGGTAAGAATATATGTGTCATGAGTAGGCTTTCTACCAGATGTTCATTCGAGTGTTGGATGTCAGACATGGGTTGGAAAAGAAAAGGCAGAGAAGTGATCAAAGTTCAACTGGATCAAAGGAATAGGATGACTTAAAACGGAGTGAGTGGCTGAAGCCAAATTGCTGATTGGTCTTATTTACAGTGACTACATAGCAAATTGTCCAAACTGGGGATACTTTAGAAAATAAAAAGCCATGATTTTAATAGTTTTGCTAGGACAACAGGCATGAAACAGGATTATCGTGGGCAAACTGAGGTGATTATCACACTAATCCTAATGAGCAGAGTGGGTAATTTAATGAAGAGATGACAAGCATTTCATAAGGATGGCAAGACTCTTCTGTTCATCATTATTCTCTTCTCCTTTCCTCCCTCATGCTTGTAGTGACTCTGGTCATCTTTGCCTGTCCAGGCCTTTTGCTTCCTTTGGAGACTGTTCTAACTGCTCTTCCTTCATTCAAGGCAGATAATTCCTAGCAAGACTGCCAATCCCCAAACTTTGCCCCCTTGACCCAAAGAACTCCATTCCTGTTATTTGAGCATCAGTTTGAGAATGCTTCCCTGGGATTTTTCTTCTTTCTAAGATGGAAATGGAGGAAAGGGCTCCTTGCCTTTTGACTCTTCTCTACAATGCTGTAAGGAAAGTGTTAATATCTGTATCTACAAGTAGATATACCTGTACTTTAGTAAACTGAGGCTCTAAATCATTGTGACCCAAGCAAGGTCACATGCTGGTAATGGTAAAGCCACAAATGAAATAATTTTTGTACAACAGAGAAGACAGAGTTTGAAGAATATTGGGGGTTATTAGCATCTATTGTATTCATTACATACAGAAAGCCTGTCTGCATAGTGAGAATGAAACCAATACACTGAAAAAAACAGAGAAGAGAAAGAGGTAGAGACTTCATCTGATATAAGCACGCCTAAAGCAAGGGACACCTATGTGATTCCATCTTCGCAGGTAAATGATCTAGTTCATTCTCTTTTATGCTTCAACTAGTTTGAGTTTCTAGGCATCGAAAGCACTCCTCTCTTGGTATTTCTACAAGTGGATTTTGCAGATTTACCTTATTTTTTTATGTATGTATTTATTTAAGACAGGCTCTTGCTCTGTCACCCAGGCTGGAGTGCAGTGGCACAAACACAGTTCACTGTAGCCTTGACCTCCTGGGTGCAAGCCATCCTCTTACCTCAGCCTCCCAAATAGCTGGGACTACACACACATGTCGCTAAAGATTTATCTAATCTAGAATCCAGATGTAGCATATAGATCTCTGCAATGTTGCTTCTGAATTGACAAATTGGCATTATTAGTTAATAATTGGTAGTGTTCATGGCTTACTGTGCTCTTCCATCCTCATAACCACTGCTGAAATTGACAGACTCAGAAGACAGAGTTGATCTCTATTTCAAAGATAAGAATATTAAAGCTTAAGAGAAATACAAGATCACAACCAAGCTAAAATTCAAACAGGGTTCTGCAGATCTTGATGCTTTGCTTTTTCTTTAAACTACCACATGTCACTGAGAGCTGTATGGAAAAGGATTATTTAAAAACATAGATTAAATTATGTGATGGTTGAAAGTGAAAATAAACAGTTATGGATGACCAGGAGTACAAACGTGGAAATGGGGTATTAACCTGTCAGAGGAAAATTAAATGCATTATATATGTTTGACTGACAAATACTATTATGATCATCTAATCTAATCAAGTCCTTAATTGAGCTGAAAGTCCACCTCTGGTTCAGAAACATCTGAAATCATGAATAAGTCTTTTTTTCTCTCTCTCTTTTAAATATTTGGAGAGATGGAATCTTGCTGCATTGCCCAGACTGGTCTTGAACTCCTGGCCTCAAGTAAGCCTCACACCTCTCGGCTTCCCTAAGTACTGATATTGCAGATGTGAGCCACTGCACCCAGCCTCTTTTACTCTCTGTTTCTTTTTTAATGAATAAATTATTCTGGAAAGAAAAATTATGTTTCCCATATAGCCGACACAAATGGTAACTCTGTAAACTGCTTAAGGAAATAAGATAAATAAATCTGAGACAATTTCAAAATATGTATCATCATCATCATCATCATCATCACTATGTTTTGTGTACCTACCCTGCTTCAAGCACTGTACCAGGTATTTTGTTATACCTTATCTCTACTCTTCTCTACAATGCTGTAAGGAAAGTGTTAATATCTGTAGCTACAAGAAGATACAGATGTACTTTAGTAAACTGAGCCTCTAAATCATTGTCACCCAACCAAGGTCAACTGCTGAGAATGGTAAAGCCACAAATGAAATAATTTTTGTCCAATAGGGAAGGTACTATGATTTACCCACTTTAAAGAGTAGTGATCTGATGATGATATAAGCCTTTGATATAAAGGAAAACAATAATTAAAAAAATGTTCCTATTTCTTCCTAGCCTCATAGCATATTAAGTGTGCTTCAACTGAACTGAATATATTCCTCATTCACTTTGCTGATGACCACAGACATTCTATCTTAGAATTAAACAAAAATTATTTAACATCATCTCACATAAAGGAATCATTTTTCTTCTCTTAATTTGTCAATGTATAGCTGTCATTAGCTCATAGATTCATAGGAGCTCAGGTTTTTAGCTCCTATCAGTTAAAAAGTCCATTAAGCTAAAAGCCATTAATGATTCAGCATTTAACCCTTTTCTGCTTTTCAGTATTAGAAACCAAAGAGATTAGATCATCATATGAAGTTGCTTCCATTTTAAATTTGAATTGCATAATAAAATTGAATTTGGGCATTTAAACGCTACCTGTTATAGGTGTCATACATTTGTATTTGATTGGATGGTGTACCAGCTCTTTATGAAGAGTATAAATTTTAATCATAATAATAAAATAATACTGAGAGCAATTCAAGAAATTTTATTTCCTCTGGAAAGCCTGCAGAATCCCAATCAATCTTTCCATAAATATTCTAAGACTTTTATAATGTATCTTGGCAGCCAAAATAGATATAAAGTTCATACATGATTTTAGCAAAGAAAGAATCTTCAGCCCTTACTGAAATCTCATTAACACTAATAAACAATGCAATTCAAACAGACCATTTCCTCCTCTCATTTTTCTCACTCACAAATTATATGGAACAACAAACTGGGAAATAAGCCCCACCAGAGGTACATACAGTAACAAATGCAAAAATCAGCAGCAAGTAAGTGCAAGAAGTGGGCTAATCTATTGATAAAAATACATTGGTAGGCTGGACCTGGTGGCTCACCTGTAATCCCAGCACTTTGGGAGGCTGAGGTGGGAGGATCACTTGAGGTCAGGAGTTCAAGACCAGCCTGCCCAACATAGCAAAACCCGGTCTCTCCTAAAAATACAAAAAATTAGCCAGGTGCGGTGTCAGGCACCTGTAATCCCAACTACTCAGGAGGCTGAGGCAGAAGAATCTCTTGAACCCAGGAGGTGAAGGTTGCAGTGAGCCAAGATCACGCCACTGCACTCCAGCCTGGGTGACAAGAGCCAAACTCTGTCACAAAAAAAGAAAAAAAAAAAAGTACATTTGTAAACTGATCAAATTATTGACTTAAAAGTGAAAATAGCTTTTTAGTTTTATTTTGTTTAAAAGCAAAGATAAACTGTCTGTAATGTACTTTGAAGTGCACCAGAAAATAAGATGGATTAATGGATAGGTGGAAGATAAATCAATAAATGGAAAGATATGGGATAAAGCAAGTATAGTAAAATAGTAATGATAAAATCTCATTGGTAAGTACACGGGTGTTCATGGTAGAATTCTTTCAACTATGCTATATGTTAAAACTTTCATAAAAACTTACTGGGAGAAAAAGGTAAATTTACATTTTAGAGAGCACAAACAAGGGATAGAAAGAATTACAACATATATCTTCCAAAACAAAATAGAATAAAGGACAAACTGTCAATCTGAGGCAGGGAAAGACAGAACAAATAAACAAATATAAACCAGGATAAAGAGAAATTTCTCTCATTGGAATAAGGTGATGCAGTCATCATTAAGCTAATACAACACTCACATATGCACCCACATGTACACCTCCCATACACACACGTCTCTCTTCCAACCTCCCCTTTCCTTATAAAGAGTAATTTCAGGAGTTTAAAATATAACTTTCCCACACTGCCTTTGTTTTAATTACTTACGGAAAGTTCTGTCCTAACATACTCAGATTCTATCTCTTAATATTTTGTTTTAATTAGCCAGAATTTTGCCAGACCTGGTGGCTCACAATAGTAGTCCCAGCTACTTAGGAGGCTGAGGCTAGAGAATCGCTTGAGCCCAGGAAGTCAAGGCAGCCGTGAGCTATGATCATGTCACTCCACTCCAGCCTGGCTGACAGAGAAAGACCATGACTCAAAAAAAAAAGGGGGTTGCGGGGGAGAAGAAAATTCTCAGTTCTTACATATTCACGTTACCTGTACAACATTCACTTTAGACAGATGATGGAACATTGTATCCTCTGTACGCCACAACCTCCCTCATGCTTTATCCCTCATTGTCTCTCTGTTTTGTATTCAGTGTAATTTCTTCTGATCTCTGTTCTGGTGCACGCATTCACTTTTAAGCTTTCTCTGTTTAATCATTCCATCAAGTGTTTAAGTATCAATTATTACATTTATTATTTCTAGAAGTTATTTCTTTAAAATTTAAGGCTACTGGTCATTTTGTTACTTTCTTTTTCTCTATGTTAAGTCCTACTAGTAGAAACACATCAAACATAATTTATATTCTCTACCTGGTATTTGTAATACCTGAAGCCTTCGAGTATCTATTTTTTTCTGCTGACTCTTCCTCATGGTGGCTTCTTTCTTTATGGTGTGTGTGTGTGTGTGTGTGTGTGTGTGTGTGTGTCTTATTGTTTGCTCAGATGCTCTGGAATTTAACTTTTGAGGATGCTTTGAGGCTTCAGATGGAGGGTGCCTCCCCACTAAAAAGTCTTGCCTTGATTTCTGCAAAGTATCTGGAAGACTTGGGTCCACTTTAAAGTTTGATTGTTTCATGTGATACAAATAGTGTAAATTCAGGCTCAAAACTTACAGAAGTGTCAGGTTGTGGCAACAAATTCTTAAAGGAGACTTTGTATCCACTCAGATTCCAGGCTAAACAGACAAATTTATTTGCTGTCTGCCTCTTTTTTATTGGATTAAAAAAAAACTGTAGCTCTTCATGGGTTCTAACTTTATTTAGGATGACTAGTGACCCCACTCCCATTACACAGTCCCAAGCCTCCCCATCCTACTACCCATGTTTTCAGTCCTGCAGTCAAAGCTCTGGACATCCAGATCCATAAAGATCCCTAAAGAGTCAGTTCCGGCTTCTTCCATGGATTCCCCCACTGTTGCTAGGGCTCAGACATCTTTTACTTTCTTACAAACTCATCCATTCATTTTAAAAGTTGTGTTTTTGTTTCTATATTAGCTAGTAATCTTGGTGTTTGTGGGAGTCTTTTAACAAACTAAAATGAAACCCACTGAACCTGGCAGAGGGAAACAAAATGGGGGAAGGCATTCTCCCCTGCTTTAATACAAACAGCCATGCAGCTCACAGACAGCACAGACCCCAGGCAGCAGATCATCAACGGCTCTAAAGGGAAACGATCGGCAGAATTCAAAAGAAATGGACCTGCTGGGTTGGGCGTGGTGGCTCATGCCTGTAAACCCAGCACTTTGGGAGGCCGAGGCAGGGTAGATCACCTGAGGTCGGGAGTTTGACACCAGCCTGACCAACATAGAGAAATCTCATCTCTACTAAAAATACAAAACAAAGTAGCCAGGTGCAGTGGCACATGCCTGTAATCCCAGCTACACGAGATGCTGAGACCGGAGAATTGCTTGAACCCAGAAAGCAGAGGTTGCGGTGAGCTGAGATCGCGCCATTGCACTCCAGCCTGGGCAAGAAGAGCAAAACATCGTCTCAAGAAAAGAAATGGACCTGTTTGCAACATGTATCAGACATCTCTGGACTCCCCAGAAATATTTAATAGAGGATTTTACGAATGGCCAAGGGTCACCTGTCATCAACTGGGAACAAGACTAGTGAAATTACCATATTTGCTATTTCAATGATTACCACTCATGTCCACAGACAGCAAGGCTAAGGAGTCTCAAATAACACCAATAATACAAAAATTCAAACTATAAAATCAAAACACTGTAATTCTTTGTGCACAGGGTCAATGGCTTTTTAATTTCTGTAAACTCAGCCTGAGAGCAGGCCCTGAGAAAATATTTATTGACTTCATGAATTATACATGGTTATGTTGATGCTATTATAAACTTGTTTGCTTAAAAGAGAGATAGTAACTTTTAAAAATCACTTTTTTTGAGCAAAATAATACAGGCTCAAGAAAAATTTCTATCAATTAACAGATCATTCATGAGCCATAATTTTTTTTTTCTACCTTTGTAGTGGATTTTGGTTAGGTTCTTCAGTTTAGCCTTGAGTTTCCTCTAATTAAAAACTACAATGGATGGTGGCTCACGCCTGTAATCCCAGCACTTTGGGAGGCTGAGGCGGGTGGATCACGAGGTCAACGGATCGAGACCATCCTGGTCAACATGGTGAAACCCTGTCTTTAATAAAAATACAAAAAAAAAAAAAAATTAGCTGGGCATGGTGGCACGTGCCTGTAATCCCAGCTACTCAGGAGGCTGAGGCAGGAGAATTGCGTGAACCCAGAAGGCGGAGGTTGCCGTGAGCCGAGATTGCGCATTGCACTCCAGCCTGGGTAACAAGAGCGAAACTCCGTCTCAAAAAAAAAAAAAAACTACAATGGAAAAATGAACCAAAAGAGCAAACATTCAACGAAGTTGACAAGTAATTAATATGTGTTTTGATAGGGCAAAGTACCAACTCAAAATGTAGAAGTTATTAAAGCATCAGGATCAGACACCTTCAGCTATGTGGAAAAACGAAATTAAACACCAAGGATTAAAAACCATTTGAGGAAGAATTATTAAATGTCTCTCAATATTAATGGTCTTAGCTCTTCCATGGAATTGCATGCAAATTGTTTCCTATTGAAGTCCTTATCATTTTAGGTTTCTCTTTAGATAAAAAAAATATATACCTAATGTTAAATTTCTAAAGTTATTAAGTTTAAATTGTTATATTCTGATACATACATGAGATAAATGATTTTAAAAAGAAACTTTGCAACCTAATTATGTCCTGAAGGGATTAACTAAAAGACAGATTGAAGGCATTTAAAAGAAAGATTGTAAGCAAAAATCTTTACCAAACCTAAGTCACCAAGTAAGAAAATAGCATGTTAAAGTCAAATGTATCCTTATGCTAAAAACTGCTCTAGAATTTACACTGAACCTAACCGATAAAACAACAGTTTTGCAGTCAGTGCACATTTGTAGAATGTCATTTCTTCTACTTCCCATGGATCTTGACTTGTACAATCTTCCAGCTCCTTCTCCTACCTCTGGGATAGACTCTAATGTTACAAAGACCTTGGTTTGAATAATAGTTCTGCTACTGACTAGTTCTATAGCCTTGTAGGGATTATTTAATCTATTTGTATCTCAGTTTCCTAATGGGAAACCATTAGGAATGGTTTGAGGGACATAAATTAAAGCATGGTTCTTAACCAAAATCTAGCCAGGCTCCTCTGAGCCCTCTTATCTGCCAGGCCTCAACCTTGGCCTATAAAAACCACAAACTCTCAGTGTAAACAATTTCGTTCACTCTCTTCCCCTCCCTATTTAAAGACTTAAGCAAATACTAACAGATACCAACAGCTCAGAGCCACAAGCACCCTAAGTGATCCTAGCTCTCCTTAAAGGGCCTGACTGAGAAAGTGCAGGCTGCTAAAAGAATTTACTGTTTGTCCCAGCCAACACCTGACCATAAGCCCCAACCACCCTTTCTTAGAGCATTCACTAAAATTTACTAAATGCACAATTTACAATTGTGAATCCTTCCTCTGTCCCTTTGAGATGTACAGCTTTCTCCAACAACTCAGGAGTGAACGTCGTTCCTTTGAAATGTAATCATCAGGAAGAACAGGACCTCTGTCTCTAGCCTCTGGGAGAATACAACCGTAACTTGGATTAATTGTCAGCTAACAGATGCAGCTGACTTAATGGGCACTTGCACTGACCACCCTTTCTAATTTTTCACTTCTCTGACTCTGCTCAAGCTCCAGCAGTCCCCCAGCACCTCCCAAGTTGAGTTTAGTTCATGTTGGACACTCTTCCCTCTTGCAATAGTATATTACTGATTAAAATCTGTCCTTATCACTTTATCATTCATCTTTTTAACAGTTCAAGAAATAGGAAATAAAATGACATCTAAAAATAAAGCCATGAAATCAAAATGACCATGTTGGTGAGCCTTAAAACAATAATATTCTAAAATAAGCTTTCTACATATGTGGTCCAAGAAGACACACCTGCATTTCTAGAATCGCCCACCTAGAGAATTTGTTTAAATGCCCATTCTTGGGCTCTACCTCAGATTAGGGAGACCAAAATTCCTGAGTGCTAGACCTTGGAATATGCATTAGAGAAAGAATTCCCTGGAGTAATTCTTTTTTTTAAAAAAAAAAAGACAGAATCTTGCTCGTTGCCCAGGCTGGAGTGTAGTGACATGATCTTGGCTCACTGCAACCTCCATCTCCCAGGTGGAAGTGATCCTCTTGCCTCAGCCTCCCAAAGCACCGGGATTACTGATGTGAGCCACTGCACCTGGCCTCCCCTGGAGTAATTCTAAGCTACTTGCATTTGAGGATCACTGATATAAACAATTAAATATGAATGTGCTTCTGAAAATGTCTTCCAAACAAGTGGTTAAGCCCTAGCTCATATTCTGTCTACTTTACCATGTATTAAGCAAGATGGGAAACCGAGGGCTAACCTGATTAAACCTGCCTAATTTAACCTGCCTTGTTTGCTTTTAATTGCTTCCATCTAGTTAATCTTAAAATTCCCACTGGCAAGTCGTAGCAGTCAAACAATACATAACTAAACTTCCAGTAGCCTCCTTGCAGATAACAGCTCTGAGGTGGGTCACCATAGTAATGGGTGCTTACTGTTGTTTTGCAGGAGGTAGCAGGCAGCTCTTGTCGAGTTCAAGCCAGTTGAGACCACCAACCCTTCAACAGAACCTGCATGGGTGCGTGAAGAGTGACCTTCTGATGTCAAAGGGCCAAGGGCCAAAACCTGCATCCTCTTTTCATGCTAATTCAACCATTTTCTGAACGTGCATCCTATGAAGAGCCATGTAGCTCAATTAAGCTTGTGCAGAAACCCGGATCACCTCACGTTCCCACCTGCCAATCACTTTTACCCACACTTCACACCATCCCGCTTTCCATCCCCATAAGTATCCCTAAGCCCTGTTTTCAGGGAGGTGGATTTGCAATTTGTTCTCTGTCTCCTTTGCTCAGCAGCCTTGTGAGCCATCTCACAAAATAAAATCTTTTCTCTTTTGGAAAACTGACAGTCACAATGATTGGTTTGCTGTCCATGAGCAAAATGAACCTGGTTTGATGTCAGATGTCACATATAGAAATTGAGGGTGGAGTGGGGTGTGGAGGGAGCAGGCATAGAATTTCATCAGTTTGCAATCAGTAAAAAGAAAGGGAGTGTAGGCTGAGGACAGGTATTCCAATGTTTCTATACGGCAGGGGGGTGTATTAGGGTTCTCTAGAGGGACAGAATACTATAGATATATAAAGGAGTTTATTAAGTATTAACTTACATAATCACAAGGTTCTACAATAGGCTGTCTGCACGTTTGAGGAGCAAGGAGAGCCAGTCCAAGTCTCAAAGCAGAAGAACTTGGAGTCCGATGTTTGAGGACAGGAAGCATCCAGCCCAGAAGAAAGATGTAGTCTGGGAGGCTAGGCCAGTCTCGCCTTTTCACGTTTTTCTGCCTGCTTTATATCTGCTGGCAGCCGATTAGATGGTGCCCACCAGATTAACGGTGGCTCTGCCTTTCCCAGCCCCCTTACTCAAATGTTGATCTCTTTTGGCAACACCCTCACAGACACACCCAGGATTAATACTTCGCATCCTTCAATCCAATCCAGTTGACACTCAGTATCAACAATCACAGGGAGATGGTCACTTTTGGTGGGTAAACATGTGGAGCTTAGGTCTCTTCCCCTTGAATCTGGACTGGGCCTGTGAGTGGAAGCTTTTACTTTTTAGCCCAGGCTGTAAGACAGATCTGGCAACTTCAGTTTCCTTGATTCCTGAGCTACTGTAAAGGAAGGAAGGCCAGGCCACTGTATGGGAGAGGGAGGCCAGATGGAGAGGCCTTAGAGTAGCAGGTAGACAGGGTACGCCCCACATGCCCCCAGCAGCAGCCCCCACCACCTTAAAGCCCTCACAGAGGGCAGTCCAGGAAGCTGCACTGAAAACATGTCATCCTCCTCCTGAAAATGTGTTCCCTTTGGACGTTAGTACCATTGTTCAGGGCTCACCGTTAGCACGCTTGAACACATAGCAAATGTGCTTTGCCCAGATCACTTGTTTGGAGGAAATTTTCAGCAGCACATTTATAATTTATTAGTTAAACCAGTGATACTTAAACTTTACTGTAGATAAGAATCATGGAATAAAAATAAATTCCCAAGCCCCCTCTTCCCCAGTGGACTGAACAGACCTCCCTCAGCCAAGGAGATCCCAGAAAAATTTAAAAACTGTTTCCTGGTGGGGCGTGGTGGCTCACACCTGTAATCCCAGCACTTGGGGAGGCTGAGGCTTGTGGGTCACCTGAGGCCAGGAGTTTGAGACCAGCCTGGCACACAAGATGGAAAAACCCATCTCTACTAAATATACAAAAATCAGCTGGGCATGGTGGCAGGTGCCTATAATTCCTGCTGCTTGGGAGGCTGAGGTGAGGAGAATTGCTTGAACCCGGGAGGTGGAGATTGCAGTGAGCTGAGAACATGACACTATACTCCAACCTAGGTGACAGAGTGAGACTCGGTCTCAAAAAATAAAAACCAAAAAAAACTGTTTCCTGGCTGAGTCAAGATGGGAGGTTGGTCATGCCTCAGTACACCCCTTTCCTTACTAACCACTAAGAGTTAGACTTTTTTCCTGAGAGTTATGCAGAAACCAGCCCCGGAAAGCAAAGAACAAAAAACTTCTTCATTAATGTCAACTTCATCCAGCTGCTTGATGTCTCGGCCAGACTCCCCTCCCTCTTCAAGATTTTGACATGACAGCTGACCAAGGCACTCCTCCCACTGAAGGAATGACGTCCACCATGGAATGGCCAGTTTACAGAGACTGCGCACCAAGCACATCCATGCCCTATAGTTCCTTTTAACATATGGAGTCTAATTTTACTATATTTTAATGATATATATCTCCAAAGTAAACATGGGATGTATGTAACATATGTAACATATATGTTTGCTTATCACGCTTATGTATGACCCCCCTTTAATGCACTTTCCTAACTTCTATAACCTGTTAAATATGTATGTTCAGCCAACCCATTTAGCATAAAACTCTTGTCCACCCTTCCTTCCTCAAAGTTCCAGCCTTTTTTTTTTTTAGACACAGGCTTGCTCTGTCACCCAGACTGGAGTGCAGTGGCACGATCACGGCTCACTGCAGCCTCCACCTCCTAAGCTCAAGCGATTCTCCTGAGTAGCTGGGATTACAGGCAATCATGGCTCCCTACCGCCTCGACCTCCTGAGCTCAAGTGATTCTCCTGAGTAGCTGTATGGGCACAAACCACCATGCACAGCTAATTTTTGTATTTTTTTTTTTTTTTTTTTTGTAGAGACAAAGTCTCACCATGTGGCCCACGCTGAGCAAATTCATGGGGTCATGCCATCCACCTGCCTTGGCCTTCCAAAGAGCTGGGACTACAGGCATGAGCCACCATACCCAGCCTAAAATATAGGCTTTGGTCTCAGCCAGAAGCTCCACTTCGAAGCCTGGAGGTTGCGACGTATCATAAGAAATAAAGTTTTCCTTTCCAAATTTGTAGATCTTAAGACTTTAAGTGAACGCAGTTAATTTAAGCCCATTCCAAGAGCCTGATTGCCCTTGCACACTGGCTGAAAGGCAAGTCGCTGTCTCTCTAGGGCTGAATATTGGACTAGAAGACACAAACTGAGACATCCCTGTGGACACCACTGTCACTGCAGTCTTCCAGTTCTATTGTGCTTGTACCCACAGCTAAGAGAGAAAGTTTTTCTCTTCCTCCTGATCAAAACTGTTTCCTTCACCCATCTTAATTCCTTCTTTCTTCTCTGACGCTGGGCTTAAACTTGGGCATCTTTATCCTTGTACAGTTCCCTCTTTACTAGCGACGTCCCCTTGCCTGTGACCACATTCAAGTTTCTCTCATGATCAAAGCACTGGCCAGGCAGAGGCTGGATGCGGTGGCTCATGCCTGTAATCCTAGCACTTTGGGAGGCTGAGGCAGGTGGACCACTTGAAGTCAGGAGTGCAAGACCAGCCTGGGCAACATGGCAAAACCCTGTGTCTGCAGAAGAATGCCAAAACATTACCTGGGCGTGGTGGCACGCACCTGTGGTCCCAGCTACATGGGAGGCTGAAGTCGGAGGATCACTTGAAGATAAAGACTGTAGTCATCTAAGATCTTGCCATTGTACTCCAGCCTGGATGACAGAACAGGACTGTCTCAAAAATAAAAAATAAAATGAAGCCACCCCCTGACCCCACATCCATCCTGCATTTCCATCTAGTTTCTTCTTACCTCATCCAAACTTCTTACAACAGGAGTCTGTGCTCACTAGTAGTCACTTCTCATTTAGCTCTTAACCTACTATAACCGGGGTTCAAATTACTCCACTAATGTGTCCAGTATATAATGCTAATCATCCCATAAGTTTCCAGAATGTCTATTCTCTTGGTTTCTGTGATAACAAACTCTTCGAATTGTCCTTACAGTTCTGACTTCATTTGCATCCTCTAGGGCCTTCTCCCTGTTCTCTGCACCACACTGCCCCCTAGTGCTGGGTTCTGTAGACCTTGTTACTACAACGGTGCTGCTCAGAGCAGTCGCTTTGGCATCACCAGGAGCTTGTCAGGGATGTGGTATCTCAGGCCCATCCCAGACCTGCTGAGTCAGTATCTGCATTTTAACAGAATCCCCAGGTGATATTCATGCACAGCAAAGGGAGAGAATCAGCTCCATGACTCAGTCTTCACAGAGCAGGGGCTCTTCTGTCTTCTGGATGAGCTCATCATTTCCCAGGGTCACTACCTATTTGTTGAGGTTTCTCAAATCTCTGTCTGAACCCAAAGTACCTCCTCCAGGTTTCAGTCTCACATAGTAGACTGCTTGCTGGCCATCTGCATCAAACTGCAGTCTTATATTTACACCAAACTCAACAAACCCATGCCTACCAACCAGCTGCTGCTCCTATAATCTCTTTTTCTCAACTGATGCTAGTATCATTCACCCAGTTATCCATACTAAAACCTGGGCGTTGCGCTAAGGGCTTTCTTCCTCTCGTTACTCTCCCTTCACTCCCCCCTAACCCCAGTACATTCAATAAGTCATCAAATCCTAGCACGTTAGTGATATTTCTCTTACCTGTTGTCTCCTGCCTGACACACTTTCTTTGTTCTCTTTCAAGTTTCAGTTACATCTTATATATACTGCTGCAGTAATAGCTCTAACGGTGCCTACACAGATCTCTTCTTCACACAATCACCAGGAAGAGTTTTATAAAATAGAAATACAATCACCTTACTGTCTTGCTTAAAATCTGTCCCACCCACCATAGTGGTTCTCAAATTCTAGTCCCTGGACCAGGAGTGTTAGCATGGTACTCACAAAAATTGCCTGAGAACTTGTGAGAAATGCACATGATGGGTGTAGCCCCAGGCTTTCTGAATCAGAAAGTCTAAGGAGGTGGTTCCTACGTCCTGTTTGAACAAGCTCCAGGTGATTCTGATGCACACTGAAGGCTGAGGCCCACTGACCTCCCAGAGTAAACCAATCTTGATCAGGCAAACAAAGTTTCCCCGATCCAGCTCAGGTCCAAACTTCTTAGCTTTATTTCTGTCCACTTTTCGATTTTGAAATTGACATGTGAGGAATGGAGAAATATTTTTTATTTCTACGTATGGTAGCCAATCTTCAAAATGACCTCCCGCCCCATATCCCAGCTTCCTAGTGTCCGTGCACTTACGCAGTGCCTTCCACATTGAACAGGGCTGCCCTGCGTAACCAGCAGGATATTGAGGAAATGATGGCATGAGAACGAAGCACTAGGGGGCAGTGTGGTGCCAAGAATAGGGATGAGTGAGGCCACTCAAGTACCCTGTGGAGAGGTCCAGGTGGTGAAAAACTGAGGTCTCCAATCAGCCAACACTAACTCTACAGGAACATAAGGGAGCCTGCTCAGAAGTGGATCCTTCATCCCTGGTTGACATCTTGACTGCAGCCTCATAAGAGATTCCAAGCCAGAACCAGGAATGATAGTCAT